GTGATGCCTCGTAAACGTAAAAATTTAAAATTCACCAAACATTCACCTTATTTAGGAATATGCAGGTCGAAGTCTCCTCAGTGGGGTCTGGATTTCTACCACAAAGTTCCTCTGAAATGACTTTCCTGACTAAAAGTTTACCGCCGCTCAGGATGTGCGCATGCTCAATGCGTTTTCCCATAAAAGATGGTAATAATTTATTTATGTGTCATTGTTAATAATCATGAAGTGCAGTGTGATTTTTCTTCAACAATAGGTAAATTTATAACTTTTTCAACATAATGGAAAAATCACCGCGTGCTCATCTGGACAGTCTCTTACTCTGAACTTTGACCTTGGAAGTATTTTTCCACAAATGTTTGTATTTTAAAGTTTTTTTGTATTGATAATGACAATGACAAGAAATCATCAAAGTACAAACATTATTAAAATTATTTATACCTATTATTAAATACTTTTTAAATTTACTTTTGATTTTGTTTTGCTTGTGTACACACTTATTAGACCTTGTACTAATGCTTAACCAAAGAAAATAAATAAATAAATAAATAAGGAACTTGACTTGACGCTTTTTTTAAAATATGCAAAACAATATCAAGTGAAAAAAGTTACCATTATTTAATCATTTGTTTGGTTATAGAATGATGCCTTTTACGAGGAGTTTCTTTACTATTTGAAATATTTTTCCACCATATTTTCTTCTCACTCTATTCTCACGTTGTCTTGCATGCTTCACAGTCTCACACTTTATTCTTATCTAAGGAGTTTCATGACCTGACATTTATCTAATTTGCTGAAGATATTAAACATAGAACCATATTGCCATCATCCTTAGTCTGTGCCAGAAAGAGAGAAAACACAATGGAATTAATGATTCACTTTGATTTCTCTGCCTCTCTTTTTATATGTAAATATTCTCTCACGTGGAGATGTGTTTAGGGGTATTTGTGTCAATAATACATGCATTTTCCTTGTTTTAGGTCCTGGAGGAAGCATTGGAGGAGGTTTTTGTGAAACAGCAGGAGTGCACGCTTCTCACTCAAACTCCAACACACAGCTGCATTAACAACGCCCACTGTTCTGGGATTACCTCCACTCAGTTATGCAATACTAAAGCACGATCTGGACTTGGAACCAGACTGAACAAACCCTCGTTTCATCAGAGAGAGGAAGAGAGGCAACATAAGAAGGTAAACGTGATTTATTTTCCTCTTTTCTTTGCAAGAAAACCGCATCCAGTTTAATCAGTTCTGTTTCTACAGCAATGGACCTTTACCTTATTACTATCAACAGTTTTTGTTGAATCATACTTATGTTAAATTGCAGAAAATACCATCAGAATTTCTAGTCTCACTTTCCCATTGAGTCTTTTTTAATCTGCATGTTGCACACAAAAAGAATAATAGTTTATACAACATGCAATCTTCCTCCAAAAACTCAGTTAACAAGACACATCTGTTTTAAATAATACTGTCTGTTCAGGGTTTCAGAAACACTGTGTGTGTCCATGCATGCACTCAAACATGAAGTATTTTCTGGCATTAGAGGAATGTGTTAGATCAAATATACACAGAGCAAACTTTTTTGTTCAAGGAACTACAGTTTTATCATGTCATGCATTAAGTCTGTCTAGTAAACATTAGTGTTTTTCTGTGCACTAGGGAGCAATGAATGTCCTAAAATCTTCACGCTGTCTTCTGCTGCTATCCGTACTCCTCTCCACTGACTTTCCCTCTGCTCTGGCTGGCAAGGTCCTTGTTTTTCCTGTGGATGGAAGCCACTGGGTCAACATGAATATACTGATTGAGGACCTTCACTCCAGCGGTCACGAGGTCACCGTGGTACGAACCGCCAGCAGCTGGTATGTCAAGGAGCATTCACCGCACTACAAAGCCATAACGGTGACCCTACCGGAGCCAATACACATAGAGAAACAAGATTTCTTCATCTCGTTCCTGAGTGAAATGCTTGAGATACAAAAACATGGAGAATCGCCGCTTGCGTTCGTTCAGTTCTATTGGCAGATGCTGAAGAATCTCTACGGCATGCATTGCCAAGCAAGTCAGCTGGTTGTGGAGATTTTCGAAAACCCGGTGTTGATGAAAGAGCTCTATGAGGGACATTATGACTTGGTTCTGATTGATCCAGGTCTGCCTGCAGGTGTGCTGGTGGCTCATAAACTCAAATTACCAATGGTGTACAATGTGAGATGGATCACTAGTGGAGAAGGGCACTTTGTTGTCGCGCCTTCTCCGGTTTCATACGTCCCAGCAGCGGGAAGCCACTTGTCAAACCGCATGTCATTTGGAGAAAGGCTCAAGAACATCTTACATTATGTGCTAAACATGTGCATAGACCATTTTATTGTGAGACCAGAATATGACAAACTGGTTGCACGCTACTTTGGACCCGAAACCGATTTCTACCACTTGCTGCAAGGCGCAGATATCTGGCTCATGCGATCAGATTTCGTCTTCGAGTTCCCGCGTCCAACAATGCCAAACGTCGTCTACATCGGAGGCTTCCAATGCAAACCCTCCAAGCCCTTACCTCCAGACCTGGAGGAGTTTGTGCAAGGTTCAGGAGAACACGGGGTGGTTGTGATGTCGCTTGGGACGCTCGTGAAAGGTCTTCCTAGTGAAATCACGTCTGAAATCGCTGCAGGTTTTGCTCAGCTGCCTCAGCGAGTCATCTGGAGGCACTTAGGAGAGCGTCCTCATAATCTGGGCAACAACACTCTTCTGGTTAAGTGGCTCCCTCAGAACGATCTGCTTGGTCACCCTAAAACACGTGCATTTGTCGCTCACGGTGGAACAAATGGCATTTATGAGTCCATCTACCATGGCGTTCCAGTGGTTGGGATTCCCTTGCTTTTTGACCAATTTGAGAATATGTTGCGTCTCAAGGTACGAGGGGCTGCTAAGGTTCTTGACGTCACCAAACTGGACAGCCAGAGCTTTTTGGCGACAGTGCATGAGGTTTTACATCAGCCCTCCTACAGGGACAACATGCAACGGCTGTCTAGGCTACACAAAGACCAGCCTATACAACCTCAAGACAGTGCCCTCTTTTGGATAGAGTATGTCATGCGGCATAAGGGTGCTGCTCATTTACGTACAGACTCTTATAAGATGCCGTGGTACTCCTATCACTCTTTAGACGTGATGGCATTTTTGCTAGCAGTGGTGTTGGCAGTAGGCGGAGCTGTGGTTCTTACAATACGCTATTTGTGTTTTAGAATGTGCAGGAGACAAAAATCAAAACGTGAGTGATTCATTGATGAACACTAAACTATTTCTGGTAAAAAAAATTTATGAAGCCTGTATTCATAATATATTATAGAGGTGTTCTTAAGGCAAGGCACCCCAGATGAATAGGGTAAAAAATTTACTAATAGATATCATCATACTTCTCCAGTTGATTACATAAGGAATTGAACTTTTTTTTTTGTTACAAGTTTTCTGAAATGATGTGTTTATATAGGCAAAGGAGGCATTATCTAAATATGCACTAATTAAAGATACCTTTCCATAACAGAAATCTGAACACATCAAGCCTTGTGTATTTTGGATATTTTCTTTCCACTAGTCTGAAACAATACTTTAAGAAGAGCCCACAATTGTAAAACTGACCAATGCATGAAAAAAATTAATGAAATAAAAAATTCCATATTTTTAATGCCATGTCTTATTATAATGTATGCATAATAGCTCGCTAAATTAGTATGTTGCATGAAAAATAATAATAACAGCAGTTATATTGTCTATTTGCAGTTACCGTTAAGAGCATGATGTATAACACAATGAACACCATTCACTTAAATTATAATGGATTAGAATTCCTATCTTTGTAATATTTTGACATTGTTTAAAATCTGCACAATATCTTACTTTTATGTGTTTTGAGTGTTTTGTTACTGCTTAAAATAAAGTGACAAATTAAGTCTTCTAGAAAACAATCAAAAGGCTTTATAATGTGGTCATTTAAAAGTTGTTTGCTTTTCATAAAGCAAAAAGGCTTGATCTCCTTTTAAACAACCATAAGATATTATATATATTAAACTTAAAGGGATAGTTCACCCAAAAATGAAAATTTGATGTTTATCTGCTTACCCCCAGGGCATCCAAGATGTAGGTGAATTTGTTTTTTTAGTAGAACACATTTGATGATTTTTAACTTTAACCGTTGCAGTCTATCAGTCGTATAATGCATGGCAATGGTAACAAAATCTATGAGAGTAAAAAAAAACATGCACAGACAAATCCAAATTAAACCCTGCGGCTCGTGACGACACATTGATCTCCTCAGACACGAAACGATCGGTTTATGCCAGAAACCGAACAGTATTTATATAATTTTTTCCCTCTAATACACCACTATGTCCAACTGTCTTTGGGTGCGTGCACGACATCCGGTGCGTGTGGTGTGTACGCGCTCTGGTGGGTTTAATTTGGATTTGTCTGTGCATGTTTTTTTTTACTCTCATAGATTTTGTTACCATTGCCATGCATTATACAACTGATAGACTGCAACAGTTGGAGTTAAAAATCATCATATGTGTTCTACTGAAGAAACAAAGTCACCTACATCTTGGATGCCCTGGGGGTAAGCAGATAAACATCAAATTTTCATTTTTGGGTGAACTATCCCTTTAAGGTAAACATTTTAAATTATGTCAAAATATCAGAGTTTGCAACACAGATTATAATAGTTTTTATAAGGCATTATGCATGCATTATGAATATCCTTATAATGCATTAAAAACACGCCTTTAATATTTTGTTTAATGTATTTTTAGATTTACATTTGTGTGAACAAGTTGCTAAGCATTTTCAAACTTAAAGGAATAGCTGTAAACTGACATACAACAACTGAATAAAGTCTAGCAGGTTATGTGGGCATTCAGTATTTCAGAATTAAAAATTCAGTCACAGTATATTCATATCGTGATCACAAATCGTGCATTATATCACTCTTTTACTCTTAGTTATAAGCGTGCAGAAAAATCACACACCCACTGCGTGTATTTTATTTACAATAATTACATCATTGTGAACCACATGAACTGTATACATTCAAAGTTTACTTTAAAGCTGGGTCTTACTTTAAAAGCTGAGTCTTCATTTACTTACCCTCAATTCATTCCAATCCGTTTCATTGCTCTGCAAAATGAGAAGATATTTTGAAGACATCCAAACAACAACTTCAAAATATCTTCTTTAGAAGAATGAAAGTCACACAGGTTTAGAATGACATGAGGGTGAGTAAAGAGTTTTTATCACTTTCTGGGATCATGTAAAAGCGTTCAGTCCCTTAAACTACTCTTCCAGACCACAGTGTACACTATGAAGGGTATGAGGAGGATAGGCAGCAGTGTGGCTACAAGGACGACTCCAGCCGGGGCGTCGAGTAAATCCTCTTCATTGCTGCAAAGGCTGAAGTACTGCTGGTGTATCCTCACAAACAGCTGCTCCACCACACGATTAGGGTAAAAGCAACCTGACATGTGGGATATTACCTCCATACACATAGTTAAACTGCTGTAGTATCTGGACATAGGGAAGAGAGAGAGAGACAATTAAAAAAAAAAATGCTGTTCATTTGAACTTTCTATTCATTAAAGAATTCTGATGTAAAATGTATCACAGTTTCCACAAAAAGGAATGTTTTAATGAGCAGCAAATCAGCATATTAGAATGATTTCTAATATGGATCATGTGACACTGAAGACTGGAGTAATGATGGTGGAAATTCAGCTTTGATCACAGGAATAAATTACATTTGAAAATATATTTACATAGAAAACAGTTGTTTTAAATTGCATTCATATTTCACAATATTGTTGTATTTACTGTCCAAACTTTTTAAATGTCGGTATTGCTGTTTTTTTAATGAATCTGTCCTAAAGTGCGTTGTATTTGGCAGAAGACAGTGGCAAAATCACTCTGGTTCACAACAACAGTTCGTATCTATGCTTACGTAGAAAACGGAAATGTCTTTCATTGTTTAATGGAACAGGAGGTCTCCGAGTCCCTTAAAGTGGCCAGCAATCAGGCTTCAAGAAATACCTCACCCACACATCCTTCAATTGTTTCCCCGACCATTTCCTTTCTTTGTGCAGATACCATGTATTTAAGCAACATTTGTAATTTCTCAGTACAAATTGTGCATATCAAAAGATAAGTACTATACAGAAACTGTTAGTTTTAGACTGATACACATGCAAAAATGCATATGATTTTTTTTATGTAAACATTTATATATATATATATATATATATATATATACACTTAATTCAACCACTAAAAGTCAGACATACAGTATGCACTGAGCATTGTTTTAGCCCAAAATGCAAGAGTAAAACCTGATACTACCCTAGAAGTTTCTCCTTTTAAGTAAAGTCACATGCGAAGAAGCTCTGGCTTACCTTATCACCATCTCCCTATTACACCAGTTCTCCTCTCCAAGTTCACTCATGATTTCACTGAAAATCTGCGAGCAATTTCTACCATAATCCTTCAACATCTCCTCATGACAGTGACCGAAGCGTATTTGAACATCTTGAGTCTGAAAATCCTCTGAGTCACAAGAGATTTCTTTAATGACTGACAACAACAAGTGATCTAGTGAAGTCTAATAGCTCACACATAAAGCATCACAAAACTGTCTTACCATTGTCCTCATATGTGACGTTGGGTCTCTCTGATAAAGTGAAAACGTCATTATGAATGTCAACAGTGTATGCGATGAGATGATGCAAGTTTAAATAATGCAGACATTACGTACCTTTGTTAAAAAATGTGTTCAGTTCTTGCTGAACACTTTCATTTTTGACTCTGATACTCTCATCTGGAGAAAAGACCATTACGGAATGAATAAATGACATTTGATCATTTCTATTGCAATGCAATACAATATAGGGTGAATGGACACTATAAGAAAATTTGTCATTGGCATTTTTTAAAATATGAAATCTGAAAATATTTCTGTATTAAGTATACAGAAGAAAAATAAAGAAATATTACACTAAAATACCTCAACTGTATAAACCTCCATCTTTGATATAAACTTAAGTTTATTAACATAAAAATATTTTGAGATGATTTTCAGTGTCTACACGGAGTAAAATGTATATTTTCTGGATGTATAATGTCTTTCGTCCAAATTATCATTTAAATACCCAGAAAATGTTATTGCTCAGAGCTTTCTCTTTCATAACTCATGAGACTTCATTGAAATATAATATCTTTGATGCATCCCAAACTTTCTTAAATAAAAAAAGACAAATGAGACAATAAATGATAAAATCAACATCATAGATGAAAATGTTTGAGTTCATATCTCACGTATGATTGCACACTTTGGTATCTTGGCAAATCTGAGCACAATTTGAAACCTTGAGACACGTGAGATTTGTGCAAGCCTGTTTCTGTCACGGAATATAAAATAAAAAAGGTTAAAAAAAATTAACTTTATTAAAAATGTAATTAGGTGACTTAATTAAAAAGGGTAACTTTTTAATCTCACAATTCTGAGTTAAAGGGATAGTTCACCCCAAAACGAAAACTATACTGTATGTTGTTCCAAACATGTATGAATTTCTTTCTTCTGTTGAACACAAAAGAAGATATTTTGAAAAATTTAGGTAACCAAGCAGTTGCTGGTAGCCATTGACTTCCATATAGTATGGAAAAAATACTAGGGAAGTCAATGGCTACCAGCAATTCTTTGATTACCAACATTCATTTTTGTGTGAACTATCCCTTTAATATCTCATAATTATGACTTTTTCCCCTCACAATTATGACAAATTATGAGATATAAACTCAGAAACTTGAATTTACTGTGAGATATAAATTCGCAATTCAGTGAAGAAAAGTCTGAATTGTAATATATAAACTCAAAATTGCAAGAAACAAAGTCGGAATTGTAAGATAAAAAGTTGCAATTATCTTATTTCTTTTATTCTGTGGTGGAAACAGGCTTCCGTACAGATTACTATAGTTTTCTCAAAAGAATAAGTGAGAAGCAGGAGATTTAGGCAAAGGTCTCAATTTTCTCTCTTTGTTGATCTCTAGGAGAAATAACTGAGTATTTAAAGATATTTTTTTCTCACTGAGAGATGATTTAGTAGCTAGTCCCTTACCTTCAAATGCTGTTCTGTTATCTTGCGTCATTTGACCTGAGAATAGAGATAAACGTTTTTAATGATCATCCATGTTGCTACCAGATATTCATTAACACTACAACTTTTTTTATAATAAATCTATTCTACTGCAAACAGGTTGAATGTTTAGTGCAACACTAGCAAAGCTCAATGATTCATAGAAAAGCTTGTAAGATGTTTCATGTCTCCTAGATCATTTCCATAAACAAGAGTAATGGCATCGCTGTCAGATGTTCATACAGATAAACTCATGCTTTATGTTAGATCTTAAACTGAAGATCTCCTACCACAGATCATAGACGGATCCAGCAAGAGCAAAAGTAATCCAGAGAGATAAATCATTGTTCAAGACAAATGATAAATGTCAACTACATGGAGTGTGTGAGGGAGCTGTTAGGTGAATAAATGGACGTGGGTTAGCTGTGGCTGGAGCATTTAAGGGGAGAAACAAAAGAGGGGAGGAACACAGGGAGACTGTGATTGTGTGTGTGTGTGGCTAAAGAAAACACCCCACCCATTCCCATCCACTGGGAGTTTGCGGATAGTTTGGGATGAGACATTTCTTTGGAGCTCCAGTTAGTGGAAATAGGAGTGCCGCTTGTTGTTTGCATATTGGAGCCAGAGCTATTGACTTCCCGTCCTGATAAGTCTCTGCGAAGGGTGGGAATTATACAACTTAATTACAGGATTACATGATTCCTACTGCTAACTTCCAAATGGCTTTTCAACATGACTTTCACATCCAGTAAGTGTGCTTTAGTATCAGATATGTTTTCATTAGCATACATTTCACTGACAATGGTCTAGTAATTGAGATAAACAAAACTTAATTTCACAGACTTTTCTTAAGAGTCTTAATCTTTATACATTTTTTTTTATATACGCCATATTTTGGTCTTTGACAAGCTACAAATTTTTTTATTTTTTTTTACCTGACTTTTGTGTTTTTCAAAGTGTTGATTTTTGGCCAACTGCATGAACACCAATGGGGGTCAATGGAGGTTGTAACCATTTTTGTACAGCCTTTCCAAAACACATGTGGTAAAACTTTGCATGAGAAAAAGTCACAAAATTTAAAGATTAAATAAATAGTTTAACCATTTTCAAGCAATTAAGAAAACAATCTAATCCCCAACACAACAGGAGGGTTAAAAGCCTGATAAAAAGCAATTTGGTTTTTCTGCATGCACAAATTTGCATAAAATACAATACGAGCACATGCATTCTGTATGATTTTTGTGAGATTGGCTAACGTTGTAAAACTGTTGACGAGGTAAATGCGCTCTATTTCCGATCTAGAATTGCCCACATGTTGGCTAACCTGTGTTTTAAGTGGTTTCGGAGACATACTTTTAGTTTACACTCCTACTGTGTTAAGAGAAATTACAATAAATCAGTCGTCAATCTTTAGTCTTTCGACTATAAAGAACATTTTGTGGAATGGAAAGCTTCCCATCGGTGTTAAAGGTTCTTAATGCAACCAATAATTCCAATAAAGAACCTTTATTTTTAAGAATGTTGTATTGAAAAAGAAATAAAAATCTTTTTCATGCATTCTGTATGATTTTTGTGAGATTGGCTAACGTTGTAAAACTGTTGACGAGGTAAATGCGCTCTATTTCCGATCTAGAATTGCCCACATGTTGGCTAACCTGTGTTTTAAGTGGTTTTGGAGACATACTTTTAGTTTACACTCCTACTGTGTTAAGAGAAATTACAATAAATCAGTCGTCAATCTTTAGTCTTTCGACTATAAAGAACATTTTGTGGAATGGAAAGCTTCCCATCGGTGTTAAAGGTTCTTAATGCAACCAATAATTCCAATAAAAACCTTTATTTTTAAGAATGTTGTATTGAAAAAGAAATAAAAATCTTTTTATGGCCACTTTTTGACTCATAAATCATTTATTTCACTAAAATGTCATTTTACCACAATTTCATTCTAAGTGGCTTCTTGTGGTTTGCAGGTGTGACTTGAACTGTAGTTTTGCTGCTTTCTTTGATAATACTCTGCTTTTAGACTGGCACCTTTCCTAGTTTCTATCTGTAAACTATACAGTAGGTTACTAGTGCTTGCAGAATTTCCATGCCTAGCACCAATTTTGCCTGTTGCAGACTGCAATACATAAGAGACATTTACATAATGTACAGCAATTGTTTTTTTTTTTTTTACAGTTGCTCTCTTATGTTCAACCCTGTTCACAATTATCTGATTAATTATCTGGTGTACACACAGTATTCTGACATAAATAAAGCTTTCTGTCTTAGTTCAATCATCATTAAAGTGACATGAATAATTACAAAGAATCCGGGTAATCTAACAGTATCATCAAGATGAGTAAATAGACTTCACAAAGTGAATTATGCAACACAAAATAATTCACAAACTCAATTTCAAATATTGCACACTGCAGTTTTTATACATTTGAACAGCTAAAGATGTCTAATCCTCATGATGAGATGCACCTGGAGTACATTTATGAGCAAAATGTTGCTAAAGACAGTGAATGTGGAAAATATATTCTTATTCATTTGTTGGCTGTGTTAATTTTTAGGTCTTCCTATAGACAGATTTCTAATGAAGAAATGCAATATGATTGCAAAAGAGAGCTTTGCCATAATCAAAAGCTGTGTCTCAAATTCAGATAATATTAGTTAATAAAACACAACAGCTGAAACTCCATGATGTCACCAGCACAAACAGCAGGATTAAGTCATTTCTTGGCACATTGAATTTTTTTTTCATTGATTACCGCAAAAATATGAACGTTTCTGCTGACCAATTACAGCTTTTATGCTTTAAGCAGTAAAACAGTCAGGTCTGTTCATACACGATGTACTTCAAAGAAACTATAAATTCAAGAAGAGGCAAGAATTTTCCAATTTTACTAAAACAGCATTTTCATCGCCAACTCAGCAGCACAACAATGTATTTTCTGGGTTAATGCTGTTTTTGTGCATCCGCTCAAATACGTGCCATAAGGGGATCTCCAAACCCAGATGTCTATATTTGAACATAAAACATGCGGCTGATTTGCATGAGGTTGCATGCTGTTTGTGGAGAACATAGGAGAGGTAGACATGCAACTAGACCTGACACACTTTGTCTAAAAAGTCATTTACTGTCAACAAATCAACAGAACAGATTTAATTTATACTTTTTGTTCATAGAAAACCAAATAACTGAAAGTACTCTTATGATGAATCTATTTAAAGAATACTTTAGAATAAAGATTACTTTAAATAAATTAGCGCGACTGCTGATCGTATAGTTTTAAGAGTCTAAAAACTGTCATAACCAATAATAATTAAAAAAAATGTATGGTGGGGTTTACAAGTCTACAACGAATTTCGTATTTAAACCTGAAAATAAACAGACAAACAGAAATAAGTTATGAGATAAAAACCAAATACCAGGGACACTCAAATAATTTAGCAATCCAGTTTTTACTCATTTATTGTTATGTTGATAATATAATTTGTAATGAAAAGCACGTGTTAAATTTAATTAAATAAAAATGTGAAGGTACTTAAAAAAATTGTTGTAGAAACTATTTTCACTTAGAAATTCCTAGTAAATTTCACAAATAATTTTAAAAAATCGGCAAGTAAGACAATTAAACATGAAATTTTAAAATAGTACTAAATATAGTATTTTCTTGTAAAACGTACTCCAATAATCTTTATTTTATTTACAACTTCAGATTTTTTTTTTTTTTTTTTTACAATGTATCAGACTTTTGGACCCCATGTATATCAATTTACTTAACTTATATTACCTAATTCATAATACCCCCAAAAGTCTTCACACAGGACAAAGCAGTCAACTAACTAGTAGAATTATATATAAATTTAGTCACAAATTTTGTTAAATTTAAAAATAGGTCTATATGCATATTGTTTTTATTGTTTCTCTGTCACTTGTTAAGATGGACAATTGTGCAGATTCTTTCACTACTGTAAACTGTGATTTCTGACATGAAGCAAACAACACTCCAGGCACAGTGTCAATTAAAAAACAGTTTCTGCAAATAACTCACAGGAAATAGGCCATAGCTTGCTTTGGTAGTGCTGTCACTACCAAACAAGTCACATCCTGTCACATACTACCCAAAAAGCTATACTGATCAATATCATTATTTTGAGCACTGTTATCTGAATGGCATCCAGTCTGAGAAACAGTGTGTGCATGCATGCATTCAGCAGCCCGTATCTGTGAGGAAATACTGTCTGATGCCAGATACAAAATAAAATTAGAATAAAAAGAAAAAGAAAAAGCATAAAATTAACAAACAAAACAAAACACGGCATGAGAAAAAGTGCTGATCTGTAAACATGGCATCTTTTCTACAGCAAGGTGTGAAACTAACACCCCCCACCAGTCAAATGCAGGCACACTGTGGGTAATTCTGCTTATTTGTGTATTTTGCCTATGTGGTAAAAACTGACAAAAATGAGGTGTTTGTAAAATCTTGAAAATAGTTTTTAGAGTTGAATTCATCTGCTAAATAAATGAACTTAAAATGCCATTCATTAAAATGTGCCATTATTGTATTAGTGTGTAGGTTGAGATTATTGACTTGCTATTGTATTGCAATGATTTATATATGCATTTTCACTCCTTGCACACGTTTCCAGGATGTGACAAAGTGAATTGAACTGAATTGAATTGATAGGTATTATACATTGATCATAAACACTCACATGAAATAAAACACTCATAAAATGCCTTTAAATGCCACGCTCAGTCTGTGAAACACGACAAATGTAACAGTCATCTAACTGGTGATTTTGACAGAGGAACAAATCCATCCTGACATCTCAAGACAACAGCTTACTAGACATGCAATAAACAAATATCAAAAATAAAATCAGCAACAACAGTGTACATACAACTAGAAAATTATTTTATTTTATTTTATTTTAAAGGGATAGTCCCCCCCCCCCACAAAAAAACCCTGTCATCATTTACTTACCCTCAAGTTGTTCCAAACCTAAACAAATATAAAAGATGATGTTTTGAAGAATGTTGGTAACCAAACGGTTGACGGTAGCCATTGACTTCCATAGTATGAAAAAAGTACTCAACAAAAGAGTTCACCAAAAAAATTTAAAAAAATTCATACAGGTTTGAAACAACACGAGGGTGCGTAAATGCTGACAGAATTGTTGGTTTGCATTTTATTTTTAAATCACACTTAATGATAAATAATATAAAATGTATAATTTAAAACCTCCATTAAGATTATGTGTGTTCCTGAAAGGCCCTTCGGAATAGTTAACCAAAAACAACAACATAAAGTTAATTTTTAGCATCATTTATATGATCTAAAAAACATATTTCAGTTTAGATTAACATTATCATGCATTTTTTTTGGGTCACTATAAAAATGCCAAATTTCTCACTCTCTGCTACAGTCTACAGATTTTAACAACATTGTCAATGCATAATCATTTAGATCGGAAATTGTCCAGCTGCACCAAGTGAACATACTTCCTGTGACACTCAATAACGCATCTTGTACCAAAACAAAATTGAAGCTTTGCACAAAATACCAGCTCATAATCACAGGGTTTTTGCTAACGACTTGATTGCAATCACACACACAACTTATTTTAAAAGCACATAAAGCAATATAAAGCATGTAAAGCAAAGAATCGCAGAATGCAACAAATCAAAAAATGTAATTTTGCATAAAAAAATGCATAAAAACACAAACGTGCTTCATTAAGGATTCTGTTGAAATAAAAGTGTCCATATGCAAAGTAGCTTTCAGGTGTCTTTTGTGTAATGTTAAAGTGATTAAACTGTCAATTTGTTGTTATCGAAACTTTAAAACCTGCCAACTATTTTCAATTATTTTCAACAGCACTCCTCACAAGAACGGGACACTCAACTGGGTTTCAATAAAGATTGACTTTAGCATATTTTTGAGAATAAGTCAACTTCTTAGAACAGTCTTTGCATTGAGAGTGTGCCAATAATGCCTTACAATGGAAATTAAGAGAAGTATATTTATATTAAATAATAAAAAAACCTCACGCCT